GAGAGAGAGAGAGAGAGAGAGAGAGAGAGAGAGAGAGAGAGAGAGAGATCTTCTTCTTCCTCTTCTCAGTCCGCCATCTCCCCTACCCTCTCACTACCTGACTTCACTGCATCAGCAGACTACGAGAGAGAGGGATTGGTGACATTTGGATCCAAACTCGACATTAGGCTTCAGACATTTGACGAGGGTATTATCTGGGACTTATACCGAAGACTTGGTGTTCACGACATTCCCATCTTCCCCCTCTTCTTCGTCTGATCCCTCCTCCTTGTCTGCGTATGGTCTGGACCTGGTGCATTCTTCCTGTGTAGCGCCAGGCCCCCTTCACACCTTGTGATGAGGATGATGTATGTTTGGTCTGCATTGCGACATTGATTGGGCTAGTCATTGGTATTCTAGCATTCCGCTGCGCTATCTTGTACTACGTAAGAGAGGTCAGTCCCGGTTGGGTCAGGGCTTATATCCAAGTCTTCCACTGCGCTACAAGGTGCCATTTTGTATGTATCAGGATGTAGATTGCTTGTTGAGATTCCGCTAACACCGCATTGTCCATTCAGTCCTTTTTATCACATTGCGGATCCTTGGCTATATATATATACGTCGCCCAACTGGGCATGTAACAGATGGTATTGGAACACCGCACATGAATCAGGACAAGCTGATCTGACACGTGTGAGGGGACTAAGTCGTTAATTAGTTTTGATTGGTTGATTGATTAGAGCATACTAATTAGCCCCCAAAATCGCGATTTTGACCTAACTGCCGAAAATCAAAATTTTTTTTCTTTTCTTGGGTTTTGTTTTCCCGCTACTTCGGTTGTGGAAAATCGCAATAGCGCAACATCTGAAATTTCAAATTTCCGTTTTCATTTCTCTTCTGAAAATTTGAAATTTCGTTGTTGGAGATCCGGAATATATTTCTTTCGGAAATTTTGATTTCTTTTTGCGATTTTCCGTTATTTGGAAATCCGGAATATTTTAATTTCCGAAATTCATTTTTTTTTAAAAACGGTACGGGAAATCCCTCTTGCAGTTACCATTTTCCAAACTGCGCGTACTCTCATATGAGTAATTCCGAATATATATATATATATTGTGACGATATATATATATATTTGGAATTCTTTTATCGGATAATCATTTGCAGTCTTAAAGTTCGAATTTTTTTTCCCCTCGTTGGCTAGGAAGATTCTCATGCCCGGCCAGTCCTGTCCGGCCGGGCACCCGGGCGTGACGCCCGGGGTACCCGGGCGTGCGAAAAAAAAAAAAAAAAAAAGATTTTTTTTTTTTTTTGGTTTTCTGCCCTCTCCTAGAGGACTCCAAATCCGGGCTAATTTCGTTTTTTGCGAGTTGGCTGTCAAAGGGGGGGGGAGGGGGGTATAAATTGGTTTTAAAGGGGCTAAAGTTCGCTAAAGGGGTATAAAGGGGGGTGCCTTTGTGTGATTCTGTTATTTTCTTTTTTATCTCTGATTCTGTGAGGAATTATAATGCGACCCTCAGCCAAAAGTGGTTTGCATTTCAATCCTACACAACATTTTTTTTTTCGGGAATTTTTTGAGTTTTTTTTTTTTTTTTTYTTGGCGCTGAGGCTGCCCGGAACCCTGCCCGGGGGTCATGCCCGGCCGGGCACCCGGGCGTGTACCCGGGCAGAAGTTGGGTGCCCGGGCGCCCGGGATAACAGCCTAGCTCGTTGGTAATTTCGCACTTCAGGGGGAATTGGGAGGCCTACTGAACTTGCAGACGAGTATTTTCTTTTTTCTCTCTCAAATTTTTTTGCAATGTTCAAACTTTTCTTTTTGATTAGTGGCTCCTTATCTGGGCGATCAACCCACCCCTCCCCACCTATTTTGTTGCCCCCTCTGGTCTTCTCTATCTGCCTCCGGGTACCCCCTGCGGAGGCATTGGTGAGTTGCCACGTCAGCAGGCCACGTCAGCAGGCCACGTCAGCTGACCACGTTAGCAGGCCATGTCAGTAGATCACGTCAGCAGGCCACGTCAGCCGACAACCCGCACCACGTCAGCAGCCGAGCAGTGCCACGTCAGCAGCAGGGAGTGCCACGTCAGTACCTACTTCTCCACCTTCTCTCTCTCTCTCTCTCTCTCTCTCTCTTTCTCTCTCTCTCTCATGGACCAAGCTCCTTCTCTTCTCTGCCTTGGCCCAGCAGCACTCTGTCCGCCAATGCGTGCAAGGCAGAATGAATGAGCGACTGGGGCAGGCAACTCTTTTGTAGAGTAGATCGGTCTACGCCTGAGCGGCCCGGATTTGTTGTTGGCCCGTGTGTGCCTGGACCCAGTAAGGCCCTGGAAACTTCTGGAGTCCTGCAGACAGCCCTTGATCGTCCATCAGATCTGTGGCCATGGTGACTCCTGAGAAATCTCTGACTCTTGACGTCCTCTTCCCGAGTTTGGGCCTGACTCGTGATTATCCTGGAGTCCACTACCTGGCGTCGGGCAGAGGCAACCTCGTGTGCCCCTGGATGCAAGGACTGTTCTCAACTGCGCCTTCCCAAAGTGGCCTGCCTCTTTCGCTACCAGCCAGGCTCGAACCGAAATGTTCTTGCCACGTATAACCCCCCGTAAGAGCACTACGTTGGTTTGTGTGAACCTACACCGTATGGGTACCTGGTTTAAGTAGACTATGCGATCAGACTCTACGGTGGTTTAATTCAACAACAGTTTGAACACACTGAAGAGTCTGATTGCATAGTCTAGTTAAACCACCAGCACACGGCCATCTGGGCCGCGTTCCTGACACCTCAATTTCCAGAGGCCCGAAATTCGACGCAGGCCATTGATGAACTTTATCAACGGCGCGCGGGCTCCAAAAGTGTCGGTGCTACAGTGCGATGGGGACAAAGTTTTGCTCTGCAAGGCTGGGGCCGTGTACTGGCGGTTTAATGCAACCCCTATTCACACATCCTCTTTATCAATGAGCACATTAATGCAAGAACACACTGAACACTGAAGTCTCTTGAATAATGAAAGTCGTCTTCATACGTCCACTAAATCAGTGCAGTAGCAGAGTAGTAGCCCGAAGCTCGGATATGTCTGCCTATACAGCATACCTGGTCTAGCATATCAAACACTAGCTTTCTCTCTCTCTCTCTCTCTCTCGCGCGCGCGCGCGCGCGCCAGATGACCACTGAAGAGTCTGATCACATAGTCGCTCTCCTGCTGACCACCATGTAAGCATTTGCCTGTCCCCACAGCCTCCTCCCTCTCCCGAAATAGATGGCGAGAACATTGGTCACGAGTCCAACCTCCGATGAGGAATAGTCATGCTTCAGATCTGATCTGAGACCATACTGATATGATGAACGGATGCTCTGTGAAGCACCCCAGTAGCAGACTCGATGACTAATTTGGATTCAGCGGTTTGTTTTTTTCTCTTTAAATTTCTTTTTCTTTTTTTTCCAAGAGGGCGACGGCCTTTGAGGTGTCATCATGCCAACTGGCCAACTCCAGGTAATTCGTAATTATTTTATTCTGTTAATCTGGTTACATCTTGATTCGAACTCGGGTCTGGGTATACCAACTGAGGTAGACCGGTTGGTGATTCGTGGGTCTGAGCGAGCCAGCCATCACAGCACAATATTTTGACCAGCGCATTGCGACCAGTGTACTTATCTGGGTAGGTAGCATCCTAATGGCTGGCGCCTTCACCCGTATAGAACGCCTGGTCATTATTGCCGCATTTGGACTGGAAGCTGCACCAAATACAACTGTAATGACTGGGCGCTCTGTTGGGGTGAAGACGGTAGCGAGAAGTGCTTTGCGATCGGTTTCATATACTGCGCAGCAGCGTCGCAGTGAGATGTCGGTCTCCAGGTGTTCGTCTGGAAAAGGCGGTATCAGAATGGTTACCGTCACAGTGGAAAAAGGCTGAAAGGAACAAAAATTTTTGGAATGTGCCATTATGAATGACATCGGAGAGAAACAAATGATGGGGGAACTGCCGGGGAGGTCCAGGGATCGAAACCTCGGAAAGAACCATAGTACAAACCACTGTTGGTGAATTTGAGCCTCTTTTATCCAATATCTATTGATTAGTATGATTACACACCAACATAATTTGTGGTCTGATTCCATCTGAACCTATTTATTATAATGTTGTCTTATTTGTTGACTTGTTTTGTGAATGGTACTCTGTGTGTGTGTGGGGGGGGTAAGGTCCATGGATCGAACCCTGAAAGGAACCGTAATACAAACCGCTGTTGGTGAATTTGAACCTCTTATAACTATTGATTACACACAAACATAATTGGTGGTCTGAACCTATATTATAATGTTGTCTTGTTTGTTGACTTGTTTGCTGACTTGTTTTGTGAATCGGCACTCTGTGCGGGGGAGGTCCAGGGATCGAACCCTGGATAGAACTGTATTACAACCCGCTGTTGGTGAATTTGAGCCTCTTATGTCTATTGATTACAACACGTGTATAAAAGAACCCTTTCAGAGAAATGATGTCTTGTTTGTCGACTTGTTTTTTGAATGGCACTCTGTGTCGTTTCCATTGTTGGGGTTGCTCGTGTGAACATTCTGCTTGTTGTGCAAACGTACTGTTGCGATGTTTGCTGCGTTTTTTTTGTCGAGGAATGCAGTTTCCAGCTCACCCAGAAAGGATGGGGCCCGGAGCAATGCTGGCATCTGAGCATGGAATCAGAACTGTATTCACGACCGTTTTCCAAGAGAGTGGGGTTAAGGGGTTGTACCGCGGAATAGGTGAGTGCCAGCCATTCCTGATGACCATTCGGGCCCGGGACCAGAGGTATTATGCCGGGTATGGGTGTCTCTCATGCAGGTAAACCACCAGTGCTTTTTGCCGAGGCCTGTGCGCCAAGATTTGCCGAAATGCCAGCGCACCGTTGTTGTTGTTGTGTGGTTTTTTTTTTTTTTTTTTTTTTTTTTTTTTTTTTTTTTTTTT